AAACAGTTATCTTCGGGTATCTTCATTTGTCAAACTAAATATATTCATGATATTCTGAAGAAATTTAATTTAGAAGGTTGTTCATCTATTTCAACACCTATGGCTCATGGAACGAAGATTCATGCTGATCCCAAGAACTGTAGATGTCCAGATGTACTTTTCCTGTCTAACATACAACCTGCATAATCTGCATCTGAATATGCTGTCAGTTCAAATCCAGTACCCTTGGGATACCAGAGTCCTAGATTAGCAGTCCCTTTGAGATAACGGAAAATGCGTTTAACAGCACTTAAATGRGAYTCYTTGGGATTAGACTGATATCTGGCACAAAGATGTGTTGAAAACATTATATCTGGTCTACAAGAGGTCAAATACATTAAAGAACCGATCTTGAATCCAAAGGGGGAGAATGTTGGGTTCAAGATTAGTGCTTAAATGTTGTATTCAAGTTTCTCYATTTASTTAGTTTTATTGTAATTAGTTTAGCCTTATTTTCTTTAGTATAAATAGTCTTTTCATTGTAATTGTAAACACACAATTGATTATATCATTAATCAAAAAAGGTGATTTGACAGCAATTATTCTCTCTCTCCAATCTATATTGAATTCATATTCTGTTCTTGAGATTTAATGAAGATTGCTTCAAGATTCGTATGAAATCTGGACTTTTCATTAATTTTAATATTTAGATATTTTACATGTTATTTAATAAATATATCAAATAAAAATTAAAAAATTCTAAATTATTCATTAATATACCAACATCAATAAAAATAGTAGAACACAAATTATCTCGCTAATATTTTTAAAAAAAATATGTGTTTTTTGAAAAAAGGAAAATAAGAGTTGTTCTTTTTTTACCAAAAAATATTATCTTTTAAACAATATATTATATTTGTTTAAAAATATTTACTTGACGTATAAATATATTAAATTAATTAGATTTTTTTGAGTTATTTATTAATATAACAATATTAAAAAATCATAGATAACAATTTATTTCGTTAACATTTCAAAGAGAACTCTAAAAGATATGTATTTATTTGAATAACAAAAAATAAAAAGTGTTACCTTTTTTATAAACAAAATATATCTCGAAAATAATGTTATTTTGTTGCGAATGAACAAGATATTGAGGAATTGTCCATACGTAAAATCATAATTATTGATACGGGCCTTTTCCACGTAAAAGGGGAATCTTTTGTTACAATAGAAGCAGAAGTGATGTGGATTATTCAAGAATCTTCTGTCTGAATCGATATTATTCCATTCCAATTCCTTCCCTATACCTCAGGGAATATAAGGTTTTCATGAGGCTGATCTTGAGCCGCCATCCAAGTTCATATTTATTTAATAAATATTTTACTCTAAGAATATTTAATTTGCATGCAACTTAATAAGAAAAAGTCAAAAAAATTAAATGTTTTTTTGAATCATAGCAATGAAAAATGAAAATCACTAATAATAATTTGAAATAGGTTTTTATTTTTATTTTAGTTAAGTCATCAAAATGATGTGTCATCCACATCACCTCATTAAAGCCACACAAGCAAAAAAAGTCAAAGGGTTAATCGGTTTAAAAAGTAACATATCGTCCGT